ACCATGTGTCATGAAATCATTTTTTTCCGTAATCCTGTTGACAGACTGAGTAACAGACAAACAAAACAACACAGCTAAACATGACTTTCTTGGCAGAGGCAACAATGACCTAAATGACTAAGTCAATGCAGAATAACCACCAACAATTCAGCTGTTCAGACCATTTTAGTCTCTTTTAGCTAATTGACTTTACATGTTATAGCTTGCAGTCTTAGCTCATCAACTTTGTTTCCAGACACAACAGAGAAGCTATTTTCAACAATAAAGCTCTGAAAAACTCGCTGAATGTCAACTGTTTGGGTGCCAGGAAGGTTTTGTTGAACACAGTTGAGCATTTAGCAGTTTAAGATCAAGATGTATCCCGCAGGGAATGATGGAGACCAAAACAAAATCAAAAACAAAATATCTACTCAAATGAAAGATGTTGCAGCTTGTTTTGGGACCCCCCAAGTGGCCAAAAACATCCAACATTTTTTGTATTAATTTCATTTTTACCACAAGTGTTTTTGTGTAATGATTCCATTAGTGAGTCTTCAAATTGTCCACCAGAAAGATGCACATTCCTAACATGTGTAGAGAGGTAACTTGTTACAGGTTCACAGTAAAATGTAGATATGCCGCTTTGAAAGAGTAGGAAAAGATGTAAACAGGTGTCTCAAGTTTTATAAGGTGGGAAATGCATTCAACATGTTCAAGGCCTAAAGGACACATTTAATATTGAGGTGAGAAGAGTTGAATATACACCAAACCCTGTTGTTGTTGACAATAAAGAACTCCGCAGGACACCTTAAATCAAAGCATTTCAAAGCGTTATTAAGCCCCAAAACATCTCGTGAATTGCATCATCTTGTTTTGATAAAGAGGGGTTTACACACATCTACTTGCATCAGCTGAAGTGCTTACGCTAAAGGGGGCCACTGGTGTTGTGGATTATATAAGACAGCCTGTGTGCTCACATATGGCAGGAGCCCACTCATATCAGTGGGTGACATCCCTCCGGGGCCCTTTAAGCTTCCCCAGGGAGACGAGAGTTTGTCATCGGCGCAAACGGTTGGCTTGAGCTCACAGGGAGCATTTTAATTGTAGCTTGTGTCACGCTGAAATAATCAGGGAAGCCGAGGTTTCCGAAAAGGTTGCCTGCCTGATCGTGTTACAGGCGCCATGTGTTATTTTACAGGTTTCCTTACAGCCACACACACTCATAACCTTTTTGCAGAGTAAAGGGATGATCTGCCCTCTTTCTCAACACATTCATGCCTCCTTAGTGGCTGTTGCCACTGGAGGTGCTGTTGATTCAAAGAAAAAGACATATTCAGATTTAGTTTGAGGGGGAACTTGTTCTCTTCTGCACAGATCAGAGGAGTCAGATGAAAGACATATTCCTGTGTGGATATCATGTTCTCTCCCGATTGAGAAAAAGTATGAAACTTGATATTTTTTATGCATGTGCAAGTTTCTGAGATGAAAATTATCCACTTGTGTTGTCTCATTCTCCTGCTTTGGAAGGGTTTATCATATTTGATGTTCAGCTAATTTGAAGGCAATTTCTGAGGAATTGTCTGTTCAGTTGAAAAGAAAACTAATTGCACTGCATGGGCTGCGCTCAACAGTGAAATACTGCTGCAGCGTTATTCCACACCTGAAAGGAAGTGTTTAGGAAATTCTAATTGTATTCAGCCGTCTGCAAAAACGATAAATAATTTGCCAACTAGCTAACTGTGAGACAGGTGAAATTGAACGTTCAAGCTGTGAGAGTAAACTTGATGTTTAATCTTAGCATCCAACCAGAAAATACAAATCCTAGGGAGAAGTGTGAGCATGTTCATTACGAAAAAGAAATGAAGTAAAAGCCAAGTGGAGAACAGCCAGCGACAGACTCTGTGAGTGCCTCAGATAACTTTAGCTCTTTTGTCGCTGCCCTATCAATAAAGCGGAGATAGTGAACGCAAATGCAACACAAACCGCCTCTCCACGCTAAAGTGTGAGCTTAATTAACTTCTGTAGCAGGTTTGTTGAACAAAAACATAAAGAATAAGACATTGATCAAGGGAAAGGCTTGGAAGATAAAGTGCCAAGAGAGTCGGGCAAGCTGATTAGTCTTTAATTAAAAGTAAAAGGTTTATCCTTGCAGAAGGCAGTGGTAGTCTCAAAAGGCCACTCCAATTACTGAATGAGACGAAAGAAGCCGAGATCTTCTATTCCAGAAGTAGTCAGACTGAGAGAAAGGCGGTGTTGCTTGTTGGATTCAAGGGGTAAAACAGATATATGCGAATGTGTTTGTATGTGTGATGTCACTACAGTGACATCTGGCGTAGGTTTTGTAAGACATTTTTACTTCCGCATAAAAAAAAGACCACCCTCGTGTGACGTCACATCAGGGAGAGCATCCGGTCTAACGTATTAATAAACATGGATCACAATGCTAGTTTTGACACAGAAAAGGTTGAAAATGTATATTCGTATGCATGACGGAGCACAACCTTATAATTATGAGCCTGCTAGGCGTCCAAGAGACCAGGAGCAGCCAAGGATTAGAAGAAATAATGGCCATTGGAGAGAAATGGAGCTGTGGTGTGAGGAGAACCAGTGGGGAACTGGGCAGCTGTCTTGGTGAGTGACCGGCATTAGCTACAGTTAATCATTAACTGATTAACTGATGTGACCGGCGTTAGCTAACATTAACTTAATGTTAGCTAACGTCGGACACATCACAACATTGTAAAGTTAGCTATCATATATCAGGCTATAACTAAAGTAGTATTGATAATATAGTAACGTTACTGGCAGGACTGTTGATACTGATCCACAACAGAAACTAATGCGCAAGAATCAGCCGTATCTCGCGTTACCTAATGCAAGTCCACACTACGTCTTACGGTGCTCTGTACCGGAGCGGAGAGAGAGAGGAGCGAAGGGGGGAGAGAGAGAGAGCAGCGAAAGGGGGAAGAGAGATGTAATACGGTTTCCTGATGAACGTTTTGTTTGATAGGTGCTTGTGTGGGAAATGCCAGCCCTCTGGAGAGAGTATGTGCTGCAGGGGGGTGGATGCACCTCGCACAACGCACCCAGGAACGAAATCTAGCTCCGGTCCTTTTCCTGTTGGGAAACTGTGGACTCGATGTCCTGACAGGCTGGAGTTTGTGCAACCTGCACAAACACAATAGCTCACCATGATTAAAAATTGTGAAATGCAATGTAAAATTACCGAAAAAATACCAGCTCACTAAATCACAACCGCTCAAACCAACTACCAACTACCAACTACCGTGAATTGGGCAGAGAAGAGGCGCTTTCACACCGCAGTACTTTTCCCACTTTAGTTCCGATATAGTTCCGAAATGTCGCGTTCACACCAAAATAATCCGGAACTAAAATTAGTTCATCAGAACCTTTTTTACCCCCTTTTCCGTCCCTGCTAGAGAGCAGGGACTTTCGTGGGAGAAAAAGGTTCCTATTTCTGATTGGCTGGGCAGAATGCAAACCACGCCCCGTAAAACTCCCAAAAGGTTTTGTGAAACCGCCATTTTATTATCCTCGCATTAGCATTATTAGCATTAGCATTAGCCCAGCGCACAAACGCAGAGAGACTAACTTATGGCAACACAAAAGAAAACATGGGAGCGGTGGAGATGAGGAGGTGTCGGCGTTCTGGCGATTTACTCGGAAGGCTTCAGAAGAAGCTGCTGGGAGTTCCAGCAGCGGCTTAATTTGCCTAATCCTCCCCCAGGGACTTATTCCGGTGTGAACGCGGTCATGAGAACTAAAGAGTTCTCATGAACTAAGTTCTGATGAACCTTTGTGGGAAAAGTACTGCGGTGTGAAAGCGCCTATTCACTCAAAAATGCCCTGATGCAGTGAGTCAGAGCACCTCCCACTGGGACCTTTTCTCTTTTGGAAAAGTGATTTTTCTTTGTAATTATTATTCTTTTTCAAAGGCCGCGTTGCAGTACAAACAGAGGGACTCAGATTGTTTTTGTATAAATGTGTACAATGTGTCCATTTTTCTGATGGAAGCACAGAAGTCAGCCTCTCAAAATATGTTTGTTAACAAAACAAATAAAATGTGATTATCATTACCATTTAAATGTCTTGTTTGTTACAACAGCGTAACATTTTAAGTTCAGCTTACTTGAAAATGTTGAGGCAATCGGTTTCCTGATATTATCCCAGTAAAGTGAACTGCTTTGACATGTAAGGTTCACTTTTTATTATGAGTTGTGCTAATTTAACATAACTCAGATCTTTAAGTTGTCTAAACCAACTTTGTATAGTCATCATAAGGAATGATCTTGAGTTGAGTCTACTCAAGTTTACTGTAATTATATAAGTTGCGTGAACTCAGTACTTTTAAGTTGAAACAACTTAAAGATTAATGATTAACTTTACTTGGAAATGTTGAGGCAATCGGTTTCCTAACCTTTTTTAAGTAAAGTCAATTTATTACAATTTACAGTGTAGAGTCATTGCGTGCCTATTGATTTGAACACGATCCGTGTATCCATCATTTCCTGGTCTTCTCTAAAGAAGAGGGACCAATGAAAACGTTGTCATGTTGCCGTTGTTCAGCATGGAAACATTCATTAGCTAACAATGACATTATTGTTCTATTAATATAAAGTGAGGTCAGGTACTCTTTAAAACAGCTGGTAGTTATGGGTACTTTTTACTTAAGTACATTTCGAAGCCCATACTTCTTTACTTTTACTTGAGTAAAGAAGTTACTTCTACTTTTACCAGGTTATTTTTAATCACCAGTATCTGTACTTCTACTTGAGTAAAGGTTGTGTGTAGTTTTTTGCCATCTCTGGATTTTTCAATCTAAAGAAGTCTGTGTGTGTGCTGGAGAGAAAGGGGGGGGTTGTAAGAGGGCGTCTCTCTCATCGTCCCTCCCCAGCCCAGCCCCTTGACATGGAGGAGTATCCTGCAGCAGGTCCCAAAACTGGAAACTCATTCAGTCCCCTTCTGAATGGAGTGTCTTTAACGTGAGAGTGGAGGACTTAACTTTCAGCACGAAAATATGAGAGCCATGCATTCGGTCCTGGTCGGTGCCTTTCTGACCCTGCTGCTCTGCCTCCCCAGCCCCGCTCTAGGAGGTAAGTGCCACTGCAAATCACTCTGTCAGTGTCCTGTTCCCCCCTTCTCCCTTTCTCCCCCTCTGTGAGAGATGCACGCTTCCCCAATGCATAAATCAATGCTTGACACGCTGATGCCTCAAAATTAACTTCAGAGACTTTCACTATAACTTGCACCAGTTGAGCAGAAAGTTAGAGAAAACTCTACATTATGTTTTCTTTATTTGTATCTAGTGCTGTCCACTCTCATAGTCTTTGCACAGTAGTGAAATATTATTTTTTCTTGGAAGAAACTCAATACATCAGAGGAAATGTGTGCCTAACCCTGGTCCAAGGTCTGAGACAACGTCTGTCGGTTTTTCATCCAAAGCTGGGGTTTTTTTCTCCGCCTTTCAGCCTTTGACCTTCTGAGTGTGTCAGAGCTTTTACCTTGAGAATGTTTGCGTTGAATGCGTGTTGCCAAAAGCCAGGAGGTAGAGAAGTTGAAACCCTCTGTGCATAGGAGGTGAGCCGAGGTCCCTGCGCCGGCAGCAATGAATGGCTCTTTCAGAGGGAAGTGCACAGTGGCAGGCAGAGCTGCTCCTTATCCACCCAGAGAGGGGAGATGAAAGTGAGAGCGAGAAAGGGGGCTAGTGAGGGAGTGAGGGAGGCAGTGTGCGTGTTGGAGAGGGGGATGCTGGGAGGCCAAGGCTCATACAATGGACACATAGTGCATGAGTAAATTCAGCCACAGATGTACCTTGCTCAGTATGACTTGATGCAGGAATTCTGCTTCTTAATCTTCCCGAATGTGAGTACAGTTAGTGTTTGGGTGAGGCAAATCCAGTATGTGGATGTGAAGTTTTAAACTGCCATCAAACAGCTTTACCAACTCACCTCCGCGCAAAATTGTACATATGGCGAATTGGCAGCATCAGCCTTGGACTTAGAGCAGCTGTTGAGCTCATTGTCTTCGTCCAGCTGTCAGAACTTCAAACTCACACTGCAAATTCCACTCCAATTAAGTCCAAGGCAAACCTCTCCATGAGTGTCTTATTGGCAGCTAAAGTACAGAAGTGTCTCTTGATCTGAACGGGGTAGCATCGCTTTGTTTCAGTGGCACAGAATCAAAGCTCAGCTGGAGAGCTGGATTCACATCGTCGGCACTGTGATCTGTTCACCACGAGCACTGAAAGTCATCTGCCCTTCTGTTTGCTCATTTTTAGATAAACCCACTGACTGCGTGACGGCGACACCCCCGCTCTAATTTGTTGTACCCCGTGCAAACAGTGTCAGCTGTGGTCGCATTGCATTTGCTGATGACTCACAGAAACTTTTTTGCATATTACAATATCTATGCAAATATACATACAATAGTTAGCATTATAGTTAGGTTGGTGAGATGGTGCAGTACATGTAGGTTCCACATTTCTAAAATTAACTTTTCCTCCATTTCAAATAGCAGAATAAAACTGGAAACCCCAGGTACAATTTCTCCTCATCTTATTATGTGCTGGCACAAACCTCGCTGCCTTAGTGTGAACAGTAGACCCACTGACCATGGAGAACTAATTGCTAATGTTGACCAGATGTACCAAGTCTTTGATTAGATTTTGGCCCCCCTTGGCTCGACAAAATGCCTGCCACCAGCTGTGTGGCGGACTCTTCCTCCAACTCTGTAGAAGGCTTACACGGGGATTCATTTCATTCATTTTCCCTGTGTTTACATCTTCAAATGTCACAGGCCATGCGTCACATGATGTGTAGATGCCTGGGTGTTCAAGTCATTGGCACCTTTCTTCTTACAGTCTGCCACCACGTGATGAATCAAGTAATTCTAATCAAATCATAAACACAGTAAGCCTTCACCTATAATTACATTTTTTCCACACGTTTTTCTTGCAACCTAGCACTTTTGCATGCTTTCACACTTTCATGTTTTGCCACATAATACATAATGCCATAATACTTATTCAGTGCCTTCTTGGGTGCCCTACCAGTGGAGAAAACGTATTTCTGTGCTTTTTAGGGGGCCTTACAGTGGAGAAAACATGATTTAATAATCTCAATGATGCTTCTCCATTGGAGAAAACACGATCCTGTCACTCTAGGGTCCCCTGCCAGTAGAGAAAGAAAGCTTGAATCAGTGCTTTCTATGATGTCCTTCCAGTGGAGAAAACTTGAATCAGTGCTTTCTATGATGCCCTTCCAGTGGAGAAAGCTTGATTTAGCACCTTCTGATGCCCTCCTAGTTGGGAGAAGTTGATTCAGTCCTCTGTAAGGTGACCTTCCAGTACAGAAAACTTGATTCAGCCATATACAGTAGTTTGCTTATAGAAAGCATTTTGTGTGCCAGTGCCCCAACACATTCAACCTGTGCTTTTTTCTTCACCCCTTCCTCTCAGACAGCCTATGTCTGCTTCTGAATAACAGCATACACAAGAGCTTACCAAATCAATACTATACAGTTCTTAGCATAGAATAAGTGGAGGAAATATAACAACACTAAGGTAAAAGATTAAATGTTTCACCGACCTGCTTGTTTAACCTCCTGGTGATCATTGCCCTCAATTCACCATTGCATCTGTGATTGATTCGAACATATTTTGCCTACCAAATGTTTCAGTGAACACCATTTCATCATATCATTGAAAAGGAACATTTTGCCATTAGAACCAAATGTTCCTGTATTCAGCAGCAATGTGACAGGACTTCAAGTGATGCTCACTTTATCACGGTTGAATCTGAAATTGGACATGACATGTTCCTGTTCAGAGTCTTTAAAACTGCCTGCAGCTCTGAATCCCTTCAGCTGCCATCAAGGCTGCTATTTAACTGCCACTTTCCCCAGGTTTGAATTGGCAGGATAGTTATTTCCAAACCATAAATTGCTCTCCAGGACATGCTTTTTGTTGGTTGGCATGGTAATTGAAGTTGTTTTCCTGTTTTGCTATCTGTTGTGTGCCCCACAAAGTTTGAGGTTGTTATGTAAATCTGTTAGAAGGTTCTGTGTTCCTTGGGGAGCCGTGTCCGCCGCCACTCCCCTCTGTTGGTCAAACAGTGTGAAACGTTAATGAGTTCTTTCTCGCCCCATTACCAAGCTTTCTACAAAGCCCCCTGTTTGTTGTTTTTGTTTTGCCTTGTCTTGTTTTCTGGAAATCCATCTATAAAATATGGATTTTCTCAAAAATACAAATATGACCCAACACATGAAGAGACAGGCAAACCACAGAAATGGAGAGAAAACAAAACACTTCCAACTTTTGGCAGAAATAATTATGTGTAAAGCTACCAGATAATGCTAAAAGGGTATTGACTGATTTATCTCAAACCTAATTGAAAAGGCTTATTTTAAATTGTTAAAAAGTGTAAAATAAGTCAAGAATATCTACTCCAAACATTGTCTAATGTTTTTTGTGTGTTGGTGAGTGTTTTAGACATGTCTTGCATCCTGAATGTGTTTGCATTTTCAATTGCAAGGCTTAACGATGGAATTTGCATCCCAAGACTGCATATGAGCCTGCTATCTCCCCTAGAGTATAATGTCGCCATGGTAACAAGAAAAAATAAATATGAAATTTGGCTTGGCTTTGTGAAATGTCTGTACACAAGGCCTCCTTGTGCTCCTTGAGAGTTGGCAGGGGAAATGGTGTGACTACAAGTGTCTGCACAGAAGATTAATAAATTCAATATTTGCATTGGGAAATTGATGAGATTAGAGTTCAGCTGGTTGTGCTGGTCCCACCATACTTGCCAACCCTCCCGATTTTCGCGGGAGACTCCCTATTTCATAACCCTCTCCCGGGTCATATTTCTCCCGCATTTCTCCCGATTTCTGACAAAATCAGATTTACCCTGGACTGTTTCCACTCGGACTTTAATACAGCTACACCATTGTTTGGTTTCCATGGTAGCGCGTCTCTTTAGTAGCGCACGCAACTGAAAGTCTGAGAGGGTGAAGAAGATAGTCACAGTAAACAGAACAAGAATCGACAACTCCACCCTCTGCTCACTCCTTTCCTGGATACAGGTCCAGCCCACACATATGCTCCATGGTGCTACAGGTATTGCACTTACAACTACAATAAGCATGTTAATGTTAATCGAAAACAGCTCCGGCGATCCACTAGCAATCCCCCCCCCCCCCCCCCCCCCCCCCCCGCAGTGGTTTTGAAATGCTCCCGATTTCTGAGGTCTCAAGGTTGGCAAGTATGGGTCCCACACACACTTGGTGACCCTCTCCTCACCTCTTAGTTTAAACACCACGCAATGTTAGGACAGAGAAAAAATGGGACATTTGGAGAAAATCCAAACAAGAAAATCAGAGTGTTTATACAAATGCAGAGCAGAATGCGCGGCACCTTGACTGCTTTCTGTCTTTGGAAATACCTAAAAAAGTGCCTAAAAATCCTACCAAAAAGTAGTCTCTTTAGAGTCATGAAACATTTCTCAGGAGAGAGTTTTGGATATTAAATTAAATCACTTAGGTGCAAGAACCTCCAACACAGACCTTTACACAAAAAATGAATCTAATCAACTGATTGAATGTCATATACCTTTCATGGTCAAAAAGGAGCAAGAAGAAGAACATCTGTATGATGGTATTAGTAAACTGTAACAAACTCTTTAGTGGTTTTTTGAAAGATCATACACTTTGATTGCTCAGCTTTAAAACAACTTCATTTCTTTTAAAACGTGCAATGTAGTCATTCTTGTAGTCAGTAAGACATCTTGCTCATTGAGAGTCTCCTCCTGTTGGCATCATGAAAATAAGACTCTTACAACTTCTCTGAGCAAGGAAGACAATCAATATTGATAACACTTCTAATATGATATAACCTCCCTTACTTCTGGCTGCCTGGTCTCTATCCTGCCACTTTCAGAGAGAAAGTTTCAGTGAGTCATGGTTTATTAACTGTTTTTGGGGGAATCTGGCCCCCGGCAAACATCATTGTGAGAATCTAAACTTAGCTGTATGAGCAACCTGCCTCACCCCGCTCCTTTCCTCTCTATAACTTCATCTTGTTACAGGTAGATTTTTT